TTTTCCTCCAACCACTGCTGTAGTCTCTTTTCTTGTTTATTTTCTTTTTCCTCCAACCACTGCTGTAGTCTCTTTTCTTGATTATTTTCTTGTTCTTCTTGTTTCTTTTCTTTCTCCTCCTACCACTCCCGTGGTCTCTCTTCTTGTTTATTTTCTCGTTCTTTTTGTTTCTTTTCTTTCTCCTCCAACCACTGTTGTAGTCGCTTTTCTTGTTTATTTTCTCGTTCTTCTTGTTTCGTTTGCTGTTCTTGTATTGCTGCCATCAAATCTGCTTAGTCGTAGTTTGATTTGCCACTTCTCGTTTCCATCTTCTTTTTTTTCTCGTCCCGCTCTCTGACACCAATTTGTTATGTATCTACTTGTTTGTTTGTTTCAGTTAGAAATTCTTTGCAAGTATCATCAGAGATACAATTCCTTTCTTGATTAAACCAGTTTATTCTTCCTCGATACAAACTTTTAGTACAAAATAGTTCTACAATCAGCACGTTTCTCGTCACTTTAAACTTAACAACTTTTATAATACACGCTATAAATCACAGCACTTCACAATCTTTGTACCCGCTGGCTTTTCTGCCAGACTTAAATATTAAAGAAGAGGGCATCTCGATCACACTCGAGAACGTGCCAGCAGAATCACGTGACTTCAGTTGTTGTAACAATATCTATACGTCACTGTTAGGGGAAGCTTGTGCCAATTTCATTATACATACATACATACTCAAAATCAACGTGCTCTAGCAAGAAGATGAGTTAACACTTTAATGTAACGAAAAATTCATAGTTGAACTAAGTAATAGAAGAAATAATAAATGATAGGTAAACAAAACCATAAGAAAATAAAAGTAGAATTCGTTATCTTACAATATAATAACTAAGAAAGTTTTCCTAGTATCAGGAGATAAAGGTACATTATCTATAAACATGAGTAGCCAGTTAGTGAAGTTAATGAGTATTTAGTGAATGAGTTTATGAGTTCAATGTCAGAAAAGTTGTTCACAGTTCAATGTTAAAAGTGATATTTATCACGTCTATTCAATAACAATAGCGATCAACGGGGATATTCTGCAAGTGAGTATATTTATAAGTTAGGCATAATTACCATGTTTCAGAATTTGTTTAAACATTGTTTGTGTACTTAGGCCTATAAGTATAACTACGAGTGAAAGTAGCCAGTAGCAAAAGATTAGGATGAAACAAACTAATTTGTTATTGTTACGTGGACTTTACTTCGCATGATTTTTTACTAGATAGTTCCATAGATCCTGCCCAAAGAAAAAACATTTTACTACAATAGTTATCCATGAACTTAGTATCCATAACTCACCGCTAGGGGAACATCGTGTCGATTTGTTATTGTAAAAACTAGCAGAAATACCCGCCCTCCACGCTGGTATAACTGCTAGTTCTTGCGAAAGGTTATTGGGCCTACGGCCTTTTCTGGAATTGTCTGACAGTTCTACAACAAAGTTCTCATACTTGACATTCAATAATGTTCACCATCCATGAGAAAACGACTTTATTGAAATTTGCGTTTAAAAATGAGCTATCACCACAGCATTATATCACAGACTAGATTTTATTGAAGTATTTCTTTGTAAACACAGTTACCAATAAAAGTGATTTGCTTCTTTATTGCAACACTCATGAGATTTTCACTAAACAGAAACAAATAATTTTATTAAGTTTGTTTTTTGATTGTTTTATATTTGAAACTTACTCCTTTTTTGTAATTTTTAGTGGTTAAATCTGAAACATATAATTTTTGTGGAAATTTCAATTTTTTTATATGTTGCTCAGCCTAGTTATAAAAATATTCCCCAGTTATGATTGGTGATGATCGGTGCGGTATTTCCTAGATCCGAGTTTTTGGAGGTATGGATCGCAAGCTCCATTATAATAACATCGCTCATTTAATAATTAATATACACTAGAAGGCAGTTGAACATTTTTTAAAGTATTTTTAAAGCAAATAAAAATTAGCTAAACTAAGTGACAGAAAGGAAAGATGCATAAACGATGAAAAACATATCCAAATAAAGCAGAATTTTCTACCTCGCAGGACTAACTATGTTGTGCCTACCGCAGTATCGAGTTCCAAATTTTAACATTATGAGCCTTAAGCTTACGGTCGAGCCAACAGGGACATTTGAAATTCTTACTTAATCACAACAGAAACACTCTAACGAAAATCGTATGTCACCTTTACTCGATCTTGGTTATGTGTCTAAATCAGCACTTATTGTTTTATCGACAATTTTATTTACAATAATCCATAATATTACAGTTTCAAGCCCAACTAATTGTTGTTACCTGAAATTTCATTTAATAAATTATTTGTAATTTGGCGAGAAATTCATCTTATTCGTTTTTTCTGTTTGTTTGAGTGTCTTTTCTCTCTCTCTATCTCTTTCTCCCCCCCCCCTTTTAACTTAAAGATACCTCAGGTTATTGAACCACAGATATTAGCGTCGTAAGTCCGTAAACTTACTTCTAACCTACCAGGTGCTGAAGAAAGGGGGGTTAAAAAATCCTCGATCGTTTTAAAATATAAAGTACGAAGGCTTAGTGTTTAATAACCCCAAAGCAAATGGTTACAGATGTAACAGTGTAAAGAAATCAACTCATTAGATTTGAAATATACTATTTCTTTTAAAAATGTATTCAATGATTGGTGCTCACATTATCCAGATGAGGGAGACACTTGTGTTAAGAGGTGCAGCACTTGTAGGCTTAAGGTTAAAATAAAATAGTGAAAGTGGTGTCGATCTCAAACTTTAAACTAAAGATTGTAAGAATGAAGAACGTTATCTCTAACTTGTAATTAACTGTTAGTGTTATTATAAATTTTCATAATCTTTTGCTTTTAACTTGATAAATTAAAAAAATACTTTCAAATATATAAATATTTTAAAGCATGGCTAAAAGTGGTAGTGGTAGATGAATACTTCATAACTTAAAGTTATACTTTAAGTTTAAATTAAACTAAAGTTAAACTTTTCAAGTTCATTTTCAGTTTTTCTTGTAATTTTCGTTAACATTGTAAACAACAAAGAACCCTTGTCGAAGTCTTGCACATAAAGTAGAAAATCTGATAAAAGCCTGTTTAACAAGAAATACATGGAATTTAAAGTAAAAGAAGCAAGAAACTGAAGTGAAAACAAAGTAGGTAGTAACTAACTTAGGTAGTTAGATACTGAACTTAAGTTAAATTGTTACTAGCGTTAATAAACTGTGTAAAGTAAACGTAGTATTATGAAACTAATATTGGTAGTACTACAAATAATATTAATAATAATACTAACTGCGTTAATCAATAAACCAAGCGTAAACTTACGTATAAGATTGAGATTCTTTTTCTATAGCACTGGGATAAAGAAAGTTATATCTCTGACTCATTAAACTTATTGAAAGCTTCTAGTCAGTAAAATTATCTTGACACTGAACCATTACAATGAGCTGTACACTACAGTGTCAATTCAAATATTTCTGTTGTTTGTATTTAAAAAGAGCAAGTCATCAGGGGTGGCTGGTCCCCAGAACCTCCACAAAGATGTACCTTTTAATGTTTTCATTTGAGATTGCATTCATCTGTTATGGACCTACAAATTTGTTTATTCATTCAATTTTGACTTACTGCAAAAACCAAAAATCTGTGACTATCAGGCCTTTGGAATGCTGGGAGGTCACCTATGTTATACTCCAACTTTTCTGTACAATAAACATAGAATATTATTTCCAAACATATTATATTTTTCTTTAATATGAAAAGAATTCTACATATCAGCATATATTTGAATGAATGAGACAGTTAATTAACACCATACGACACATTTAATTTGTCGTGTATTTAACTCGATTATTCCCTACATTAGTCAAAAATATTTCCAAATCTATTATAAATTTTCTGTAATACCAAATAAAAAAACAAACATATATTGATAGTTTCATACCAATTAAGAAAGAAGGAAAGCATATAATTTTAAAAATACAATTCATATAAAATAAGCAGATCGTAATTTGTTGGTAATTACATTTTTTCAGTATGGTAATTGTACAACATTGGTGTCAATGAACCAATGTATACATTCACAATGTACAGGATAGAGCAGAAGTGATTATATAGTTGTTTTGTTTAGAATATAGTTTAATTTCTAAGATATAGGGATTTTTTTTTGTGAACTTGACCCTTGAAAATGCACTTTAATGGATTTCATAAAATGAGTGGAAAAAATCAGAAGTACATACATAATTTTTCCTGTTATTTTCCACTGATGGGTATAAGTCAACTAACCTTTTTCTAAAAGTGACTCTATTAATTAATCACATTTTTTTTTAGTTCCAGAGCTTTAAGCTTTGGATATTCTGTTAAATTTTGATATAGATCTTTTGCATCTTTAAAATTATTGGGTGTGCTTGTTAGCAATGACTTCTACCACCAGTATTTTTTTTTGTGGTAATAATTTCTTTAACACTTTGTACAGTAGTTCCAATTAAGTATGGTAATACAGTTGTTTCCAGCATTTCCTTTTGAGATGGTATCTTCCTCCCTAACTAGAACCAGTAAGCACAAACTTTTAAGTAGCTTTAAATTATAACTTTCTTTTGTGCTAGCATTGTACTACTGACAATCTTGCAGCAACAATGTGTAAGCATGTTTGAGTACTGTTACATGAGAAGTTCTCTTGTGAGAAAAGCCTCACCACGTAGTTTTTGTCACTCAATCTTTTAACAATAAAGTTGGATGATTATGCATGGAGGAACACACGATTGTCTTGTGAAATGATGTCTGCTAGTCCTTGTCTGGCAATTTGGTTTGGCTTCTGTTCCTGACATCTATTTTTTTCTATCTTCTATGACTTTGATTATGTCATCAGGTGCATGTAGTCAGGGAAATTCAGGCTTGGCAGCATCCATTTTCATGTTAGAATCTTACGAGTGATAGTTGCCTATTCCACAGTTTTGTGTTAAAACTTCCTTCAGGTAAGTTGTTTGCAAAAAATAGAATGTATGAACAATTGCATCATTGGTGATTTTCTTCCATTTGTCAGTCATTTTAACACAGCATTCATGATTTCTGACTTATTGGTTCTGCTTCTTCTAGTGATTTTGAAAATACCCAAGCTTTTAAACAACTGCCTGCCATGTACCCAGTTATTTGATGGGACAGACCCTGCTGTGCCACTCACTTTTATGTGCATTTCTATTCAGTAAAGACCCCTTTACAATGTTATTTAAGTTGAAAAATTAATTAGCAATTATATTTGAAATAATGTATGTGATAGTTGACAAAAAACATTACAAACTGGCTTTGAGAACAGATATTTGTAATGTGACAAAACATGTAAAGAGTTCTCCCTAGCAGTTGCAGCTATTTTGTATGAGAACAGTTTCATAGTATTGCCCCTTTTTCTGTATATTCTTTGGACTGACTACATTAAAGAATAATTCTAACTCTAAGGTTTTCATTAATGTTACCTGTGAAGTAAATGAAAAGTGTTGCTGAAGTGGTCTGAGTACACACTGTAGTAATGTTAAGAACCTAATGAGGGATACTTGGAGATGTTGAAGATGTATAACTTAAATTATTTTTCATAGCAGTAGGTTAATATTCACCGAGCATATGCTTAATGTTGTCCTCAAGAAATGCAGATATGTATCATTAATACATAGATGGAGCATCATGCTACTGAAAATGTAAGATTGTGTTTGTTATTCGAGTTTGAATTTTTATTCAACATTTACTATTTAATTTTTGAAATAATTTTGGAACAATATATATCATAGATAATCTAAAATAGAAAATGATAATTAATATTATAGGCAATTAAATTTCAGATTTCATTGTGAACAGACCGATTATAATTTGAATATACTAATTCTGTAAAATACCTTTAAAAGGGTCATTTTTCACCTCTTCTGTTGATTTTATTTCCTAGATAAAATCTATCTAATTTCATTAAATTATTTTAGTTTATTAATCCTGTGTCTAATTATGAGGTTACACATCTGTGTGGAACTAAGCAAATTAGTAAAGGCTAACTTCAGCCATTTAACAAAAACCATTGGTGAACATGAAAATGTAATATAGACTGGAGTTGAACTATTTTTAAATTATGTATTTGACTATAGCAGGGTATTAACGACAATTTGAGTGAGAAGGAATAAATGAGAGGTTGAAAAAGTTTAGTTCATAAGCATTTACAAAGCTTATTACAAATATGGCATACATTGTCTCAAGATATTCAATATATTAGTGTACTACCTTCAAGACAACAACAGAAGTTGAGAAGTACATAGTATTCAGAGTATATGGTGTTTTGAATTAAATAAGCCAGAATTGATTTTAAGACTTATTGGTAGCATCTGTTTTAATGTAAAAGCTCAAACACACCTTTACAATATATTAAGGTTAAAGAATTGTTTGAAAGTTTTAGTTTTCACAATGACATACTAAATTTTGTTAGCACATGAGACAATAGATATGATTCAGAAAAATGGTTTTCTGTTTTCAACTTGAGGATGATTTTTTTATTTGAATATTTGTGTCTGGGTAAACAGTATGCTCATCCAAAAAGATTTACTTTTATTTTGATATTACACAAATGATTTAGGAGTAATTATATTTGATTAGTGTAGGGGACAAGTAAAATAGTTGAATGAAATTACAATGTGTCATTTAGTGTCCTCACCCAGTCAGAAATGTGCTCATCTGGAGAATTTGTTTGATATTATAGAAAGGCTGTCAACTGATTTTTGATTAAATCTTATTTTGCTCTATGTAGTGGACAATTTAGAGTAATTGAATGACATATGGCATTTAATGGTAATTGGGTGCTGTGTCCAGGTAAGTATATGCTGCTTAGGATTTTTGTTTTTATTATAAAAAAAACTCAGATACTTGGAAATAATTCTTTCTGAGTAGTGTAGGGGAAAGCTAGAGTAATTGAATGATAAGTGTTACTTAACTGCCCCTGTCTGGGTAAATATATACTTGTCTGGGATAGAGCTGGGCAATTAACTTGATAAATTAGTATAATCAATCATATATGGGCATTGATTGATTTCATGAAAATAATCAACTAGTGTTTTTGATTATTCCAAGTATCCAGTAATTTGAATTATAATTAAATTGATTAATGTTACAAAAATAATCATCTAATCATTCCCATTATTACTGTTTCAGATGGTTTCAACTATACAGTAATTGAAATGCTGTTATTATGGGTTTTTGTTATTATTTTCAGTTAATTCAAATTTATTCAGCTTAATCAATTTGTATTATGACTTGCAAAAATAATCAACTAATTGAAAATTAGAGTTTTTGGTTATTACTTTTTTTGGTTATTCTATCTGTCCAAGTAATTGATGTATATCCATTATGTTTGTTGTAAAGCACAAAGCTACACAGTTTATCCATAACATTAAGGATGAGAAAGGACTTTTTGATCCTTCTAGTCCATCTTCAGCCTTATCATCCAAATATGTATTAAACTATACCTTTAATTAACTGCATCTACAACATCTGAAAGCAACCTGTTTTAAAAGCCAACCACCATGTTAGAAAAATAAACCTATCATAGCTGAAGATGACTTCTACTCAAAATATGTGTTCCCTAGTTTTATCATTCTTATAATTAATTATGAAAAAATTAATGCATCAAACCCTATCAATTCCCTTAACAATCATCAAACTCAACCTATCCTTGTATGACAAACTTTTCATCCTAGGTATCATCCTAGTAGCCCTACTCTGAACCCTTTCTAACAGTTCAGTGTCCTTTATAAAGTAAGGAGCTCAAGATTGAACACAGTACTACAATTGTAGCCTAACCAATGACATAATAATCTCTTTAGACTTTTATTCAATGCTTACAATACGATACCTTACCTTCACTCGCAACATACCTTTTCTCAATTAGTACTGCCCTCTATCTGTGCAAATATTCAAAGCTTACCACTAGCCTTCCACCTCCCTCTTCTGCATATCCACATGTAAATGATTATGCAGCAGCTGTCCACCAATAGAAACATGATCAACCCCTATTGTAAACAGCACCCTCTACACAGCTGCACTTGTTTATCACTTCTTGATTGGCAATAGTACCGTACAGATGTGCTTGTTTTTGCAAATTTTTCAACATATTTCTTTATATTACTTAGGTTTTTCTTTACTATGTTTTTGTTATTTCTTTATTTATAGGGGCCTTTTTGCTAGTGTATTGTGGATCTCGTGTGGCAAGTGGTGTATGACCAGGTTTATTTTTTTGTTTTTTAAAATTTGCACTGTCCATCCTGTGATCATGCTCGATGTCAATTCCATATGCTGTCACATGTTAGTTGTGTGTCTCTGTTCAGTTGTCACCTATGCTGAAACAATTGCTTTTCAGGATTAGGTTATGCATACTGTAGAGATGGGGTGTTCTGTAGGACCACTAGTAGTTCTCTCTCTAGTGGTCTTTTGCTTCATAAATATGTTTGTCCCAGACTGTACACTCATGGACACACGAGTAAAATATACAGGGATTGCTGCCCATCAGTGATGCTCCGTAGCATTGAGACTCTTCTTACCTTGGATCTGACGTACCATTCCAGATGCTGCTGATTGTTGGCTGATCAACTCCGTTGACATGGTAGCTCTGGTTTTCAAAATAGGGTATTGTGGTCACTTGTTGCACTGTGTCTGGTGATGTAGCCCTCCTGACTCTCCAATGCATTTTTCCCTCCATTGTCTAGTGGAATATGTGAGTCCTTGCCACTTACCAGTTCCTAGCTGCTGGCTGCTGGATCTTGGAGGCTTATCCTCTTGAGTGGTGCATCATACCACTCAGTTGAGAATAGGGCTTTGACATTTTGCTCGTATTGATGGCGTTTAGCACTTGCTACTGCAGACTTGATGTCCAATTCCAGATGCCACCAGGTTTTGGTTGTAGTACTACACTGTATTAATATATATATATATATATATATATATCAGGCAGGTTGCTTTTTTTCCACCGTGGAATTCCTCCTTCCTACTATCTTCCAAATGTACATTCCCGTTGAGTCTGGTGTTGATTGGAAATTGTCTAGCTAAGTAAGTTCTCACATGTGTTCTATCTGGTATCCCTCCTACTGCAGACTGGATATAAAATGCCCAATGCTGCCAAATTTTGGACTGGAGATGCACCCCAGGTTTGCAATCCATCTTCCTACCCTCTGCTGGATTTCATTTCTAGATCTGGTGTTGATTGTAGCTAGACGCAGCACATGTATTCCCATGGCCAGGTATCCTCCTCCTACTTTGGACTGGAAGAACCATACCCAGTGCCACAAGGTTTTGGACCAGAGATGTCATCCTACTGGGGATTTCCTCCTTACTACCATCTGCTGGATGTTAGTTCGTGGTGGATCAGTTATTGGTTGGAAATGCGTGTAAGTGGAGACAGATTGTGGTATAGAAGCTACCAATTCCCATTTTGAGATGAAGAGGTAGGTGATCCTCTGCTTACTACAGAACTGATGTACAATTCTAGATACTGCCAGGTGTTGGATGAGGTCAAACTACCACTATGGCCTGTTGTGCCCGAGCCACTCGACACCCAGGAGTGCCATTCATCGATAATACATATTGTGGGATTCCTTCATGTATTTCCACTTTTTATGTTTATGACACAGTAATAAAAGAGCAAAGAGTATACATGTATCAGTTGTGGTGAGGTCTATCACGATGTACGATTTTCCATTTTTGGTTTTACACTTCATGGTCTCTCTTTGGGCACTTTATAAAGGGGGATAATTTTTTCACCGGCCCTCCACCAGTTCAGTGTGGATTCTAGCTGTTTTGTGAGCGGAGGTAAGATATTGTATCGGAAGTTGACATTTTCTTAAACTGAAAATGTAATTCAGATAGATACTTACCTATTCTCACATTTCCCACCCAGCCTCCCTACTTCCTGTGATATGTGGTGTAGGTCTTCTGACCAATCTCAAAGTGATTAGTGAATGCAAAAATGGATAGGGCACAGGTTACGATAAGGGTTGTGTCATGCTCTTATTGGTGGAGAGTTGCTGCATAATCATTTACATGTGGATATGCAGAAGTGGGAGGTGGAATGCTAGTGGTGAGCATGGAAAATGTGCAGTGATAGAGGGCAGTACTAATTGAGAAAAGCTATTTTGTGAGAGGAGGTAAGTATCTATCAGAAATACATTTTCAGTTTGGGAAAATGTTAACTTCTGTGGATATAACCTAAAATTCTCTTTACTACTTGGAACCCTGGATGTGTTTTTTTTTTTCCCAGATGTTGGAAGGAGTGGCACCAGCCTACATGGGAGCCTACTCATAATACTGGCTCAGATTGGATGCTCAGCTATCTGGTTGGGTTAAGCATGGTCTATCTTTTTTTGATCAATATTGAAAATGTAGTTCTAATGATACTTACTTCTCATGCTCTCCCACCCTTCCTCCACACTGAGAGATGGTGTTAGAGACTGTGTATTGGGTCAGTCTTGAAAAAGTGAAAATATTATTGGAAGGAGGTGATTATATACAGTACCAAGATAGAGGTTGTATTGACATAGGTGGAGAGTGTCATGAGATAGATATTGCCAAGGAAAATTAAGTGGGAATAGAATACTGGGCCAAGTGAGAAAAAATCAGATTAATGCTTAGGTGGGCAAAGATAAAGAAACTCTAATGGTCATGTAATAGCTGTGGTGTGAGTAGAGGTAAGTATTATTGGAAATACTTTTTTTGATTTAAGAAAATGTTAACTTTTCTAACATTTTTAACAAAATGTGTAAATACCTCCGGTATGCACTACAAATTTTGAAAGACTAATGAAAACTTTATTTCAATCTAATATTTAATAGCTTTATTATCCTGTAACCTAGTAGTAGTAGTTACCTAAAAACTAAAGAAAACAAATATTTGAAAAGTAAGTAAATTCCACAAGTCATCCAGCTCTAGTCTGAAGATTTTTTTTTAAGTATTGCATAAGAAGTATAATAGATATGGAAATAATTTTCTTTGCTTTTTTGTAGGAGAGCATTGAAGTAATCATATGACATGTGGCACTTACTGCTATTTAAGTGCCTTGTATAGGTAATAAAATACTTGTCTAGCTTTTTACCTGTTTTTCTGTTTCTGTGGATTTCACCATATTTTATTTTCTTGAATGCCCTCATTAGTTTGATTTTTTTCCATATGTGCACAAGTGTTACTTTAAAAATACAGTATAATTCACAATTCAAAAATAATTTTAAAATGCATCTAGCCTAGAATAGTTTGGCATTGATTGCGAGCCATTTTTAGTAACAGAAAGCTGCAATACTAGAAAACCTACCCAACAAAAATTTAAAGTGAAAATGGAAAATTAGAATTTTTACCACCTTGTCTCTGAGTCTAATCTAATAACAATTCATGACACTTTAACATGAAATTTAACAGGATGATGGTTGTCTAATGGATCACGTATATCAAATGGCAGAATCAGAACTTAAAAGAGGAAAAAAAAAAAGATGCATGATATTCTTAGAATTAGTTAAGAAGTTATTAATAGGACAAAAAGTAGGAAAGACCACATTGATTAAGTGTAAAGACTCAATGTAATTTAAATTTTCATTGGTATATATAAGGAATAGGAAAAGGCTTAAGAGAAGTGCATGTAGATTAGAGCACACTGTCTATTAGTGTAATGCACATGCATGCTGTGGTATTTTAATGGTTTTAGAAGTATTAATTAACTTTTACTGATAAAATGTTTTCATTGTTAGTTAAGATTCTTGGTTTGTGGATAAAAGAAAGATTTAGGCATGAGTTGATAAAAGCTTGAAACCTTTAGCAGAACATTAAGTTATATTGTAAATAACTGAGTTTTGTAAACTATGTTAGCTAGAGATGGCTTGATTCAGATCCTCAGAATTGTTATGAGCATCAATACATGTAGTTTCTTTTAAGGCAAGAAGCGTAAATTTAAGTCTTGAAAGTCTATAGCTGCTTTTGTTTCTTTTGCAGATATATTCTCTGTTAGCTGTTAAAGGTTGTTTGATGGTATGATGTAAAGGTTTTAGTTTTGATTTCCATAAACTTTTATAGGATAGTATAAACACTGTAGATATATAGAGATATTGTATATTAAGTGACTGTTTTGTTAGTTAGAGGGAAGTCCATGTTATAAGTAGGTTAAATGACCTGTAATCTTGTTCATTCTTATGGGACTAAGGTGCCCAGGCATTTAAATAGTTCTTATCACTAAGTTCTAAAGATTTGTGTAAAATAATCCCTAACTTCAAGAATTACAATTTTTATTATTATTATAACTAAATTTTCTTTATTTTTAATTTTTTGCAATGTAGAAGTGTTTTAATTTTTATCATATTTATTTTGTATGTTTTACAGGATGGAACTTAATAAATCATCAAGTTCTAGTGATTATGTACCATCCAATGAAGAGATTATAGAAGAACTGACTAAAGACTTGGAAAAATCTGTAAGTAAACAAGTAGTAGATGAAGACAATGAAGAAAAAAACAAATCTTCAGTATACACCAGTGATTCTTTAAGCTCAGAAAATGCATATCCAAAGAAGTCACGTGACAATTTTAAGGAAGAGCTCAGTGCTGAACCATGTTGCAGCAATATTTTTCAAGATAATGAAATGCAGTCAAATGAGTGTCAAAAAGATAATGAACAGTCAGTATCACAAGAAGAAGATAGCCCAGAAAGTGAAAATTCCATTGTTTTGGAGGAAGATAAAGAAGAGGATGAGATTGTGGTTGATGAAGAATATTTAAAGGACTTAGAGACACAAATGACAGAGGAAGAAAAATTGGTAGATTTTTTATTTTTTATTTAACATGCATCTAAGATGAAACCTTTGACAGTAGGTTTTTCAGCTCATTTAATGATTATTTAACTATCTTTCAAAATACTCTAAATTAACTTCAGCCTTTTTTGAAGTGTATTAATCTGTGTTTATAACACAGGCCTGCGATGTTTTTATTGTTTTAAAATGTTTACATGTTCTGCAGTAATTCCTGTATGCTGAATCCAAAAATAATATCCATATTTCTCCATCATGTACAGATTTTTCACAAAATTTTATAGTGCAATACGTAAAAGAAAGACCACAACACGTAGTTTTGAGACTAAAAGATGTAGATTTCACAAAAAACAATCAGGATGAATGAGAATGCATATTGTTTTGACATCATTGTTCTTCTCATTTTCTCAGTATTTTTGGTAATAAACATAATACATGTTCATTGTGGTAAACGAAACAATAATTTGATCTCAGTAAGTTTTTTTTTTTCTTCCCAATTTGTAAAAAATCCTTACGTGATAGAAATGAATATTGTTTTCAAAATCTGCACAACTGAATTATGGAAAACTGTTATTAAAACCAAAACTTTTATGAAGTAGGCCTGTATAATTTTCCAGCCCTAGAGTTACTCATTTCAGTTTTTAAAATTTGATAATGTACATGTAATATTCTGGAGTTGTAGGTTTGAAAATTAAATTGAACTATTTGAAGGTATGCCATATAGGTGTAGATCTATGATCTTGATATTCTAAAAGGATAGGAATTTAAGTTGAAATTATAGAAAGTAACATCTGAATTCATTTATTGAATCCACAGTTCATTAAGGCATAACATTTCATTTAACTCTGAAATGTCTAGCCTGTTGAATTGACAAACCTGTTGTATTGTTTGTTTTATTACATTGCAAATCAAATACCTTGTTTTTGTATGGGATGTTTGTACAAATCACAACTTTGAAGTTTTGAAAAGATTTCATTGTGATATTTGTTTTCTAAAAACAATTACAAAAATGCTTACCTTTATTGTAGATCTTAAGTTACTAATTTTTTATGTCTACATTCTTGTTGTATTTTTTATAAAGTTTTTATTTTAAAAAGTTAAATTTTAACTTTGTTTTGCTTTGAAATTTTACTGTGTTTATGATCATTGGCATAAAATAATACTTTCTACCATATCAAAAATTATAAGCTAGATTAGTTTTTTTCAATTGTTAGTCAGAAGGCTTCATTTAAAATGTGTAGTATGGTTGAAAATTATTTTCAGGGACATTCAAGAAGTTACTTAGGCTGATAAGCCCTAATGTAAACATGTTCTCACAATACTGGACTTGTTGGGGAAACTAAAATTGATACAGTCAACCATAAAATGATGGAACTAAATCTTCTTTACCTAGTTGCATAAAAACATCATTTTTTATCATACTGTAACAACATGGTTCAAATGAATTATGAAGTAATAAAGCAAGATTTACTGAAACAAATTCAGCATTGTAAATTGGGTGTAAATTATGCTTTTATCATGTTGCTCCATTCTTTGCACATACCTATGCTGAGATTAATAGTTACTCAGACTAGGTGATGTGACAGCATATATAGTTGAAAAGAACAGTGAAAGAGCTTTTATTAGATGTTTGGTTCACTAGCCTGTTGCTTGTCAAAGCTGAGATATAGACAGTTACATTACACCATGAAAAACAAGTTTGAGAAACAGTGTCTAAAATTGATATTACACTTATATTGTGGTTACAATAATCAAATTTTGTTAAAACTATTTTGACTTTCTTTGTAGGAGTGATGAGTGCAGTGTTATGCTTAGAAAATAATAATCAGGAAGTCCACAAACATTAATGTTTGCATACACAATGCACTGAAATCAACTCAAAAATCAAAATTTGCAATTTTCAAAAATATATATATATATACATAGAATTTAAAAAGTAAAACATTCTTATTAAATATATTTCCAGTCTAAAATATTTTGTACATGAGTTGAAAAGGATTACAGTTTTATTTTCTATAATTTTTCTGATTCAGTGGAGGAGTTTTGCCCTTTAGGTAGGATGCATCTATTTGGGTGTGAAGATAAAGTTAATATACATTATCTGTATGTTACTCTACTACTACTTTGAAATAAGTTTAAAGGCAGATTGAAGTGGGTGTATATCCTAAGCAGACTTTGTTTATATGGGATAGAAACATTTTTTTTTTACTTCAGGGCCAACAACTTGTTGGACTTCTCACTAATTACTTGGGTTTTAGTTATTGTAATACATTTGTGTGAAATTGTTTCTTTCATACATACTGTGATGAATATTAAATACTCATAACAAGATAACTACTTATCTGCATGTATAGGTTAATACAAATGATTATCAGTTTCAGCTGTAAGGGAAAGTTTTATTAGTCATGTTTTTATAGAGTAGTTTTATCAAGGTAATGATGAAGATTTATTTTCAAAGTCAAGAACCATGTTTTTGAATATTGAAGTGCTACATCATGTGGATTGTGACATGGCATTGGAAAGCATAAATCATGGTAGATGAGTTTTGCTGTCATAATCTGATTTTAAATTTATTATAATAAATTTATATTGAAGTTTCTCTTAGCTGACATGCTCTTCTAAACATTGAAAAGTCTAAAGAAAGATTCTGTTATAAGAAGGTAGTGTTTCTCTTTCAAAATGTAATTAGTTGTTAGCTTCTGTTTCAGGTTACCAATAGTTGATAAGTATTTATATGTGAGTATATATATATATATATATATATATTTTTAAACTAGGAAAAGAAAGAAGAAGCCCAGAGCTTGAAGAATGACGGAAATGAAAAGTTCAGAAATAAGCAGTATCTGGAAGCCATTAAGTTCTACAGTAAAGCTCTACAGATATGTCCATTATCTTTTACAAAGGAGCGATCAACAATGTATTCTAATAGGGCTGCTTGCAGAGCAAAACTTGTAAGCACTGACTGTATATAGGTATCTTAAAACAGAGGTTAAACTTTCTCAAAATTCTTCCATATTTCAACAATAAAAAAAGAGGTACACAGTTGTGATAGGTCTATGTGTTTAGGGTGTGCATATTTTTTATTTTGCTATAATTAATTGCATATACTTCATTCTCACTAAACCCAACTTATTTTTTGTCATATAAGAAAATTTCTGAAGCTTTCAAACTCATATAATTTAACATGAAAATATTTTAAGGAACAAAAAGAATGTCTAAAGAAACTAAATAAAAATTCCCAGGTCAGTGGTTTGTTTTTAAGTCTTCTAAACTTTCCATTAGCTTCCTTTGTTTATTTCTGGAAGTGCTCTGTCTAATCACTTTCACAAACACCATAAATTATTGCTAAAACCACTTGATATATTTTACATAGATGTAATTCATTTATGTGAGAAATAATGTGAGAAACAAAACATGCATAATTATGCTCTCAAGGGATGATATATTATTAGCAAATACAAATCTATAGTTTGGGATGGACAGAAAAATTCTTTTACAATCAATATGCGTATTGTTTACAAATGTGAGATTCAAGATCTGCAGAGATGATAGTTGAATTTTTTTTCATTTTTATTTGCAACTTGCAGTAAATACATTAAAGTTAATAAATATCAATTCTAAAATGTTATTGAGTTATATATTGCCACATATAACATCGTAATATGTTGTATGCATTTTTTTCAGAACATTATGATGTTGGAATAGTTAGTATTTAAACTGTAAGTGAAACTCCTATGAAAAGTTTTGTAACAAACTTAGATATTTTGCAGTTTCTGGTCCCTTAGTAACAAAATTTATTTTTCCACTGATCATCAGAACTTTTCAAACTGTTGTATTTTTGTGAAGTTAGAAATGTGTATCTTAATATAATATTGTCTACGATCTTGTAGCTACAAAATCATCTGTTGTGTTCAACTGAGTTAATTGGTGTCTGGAGTAGAGATTATGTTTCTCAAGAAATGTTTTCATGTTTTCAACCAAAGTCACTATTCTTATATCATAACAATATATCTATTATAGTACTACTCAGTTTTTATCTCCTGAAAATGAGTGTGCACACTTTATTACAACAAATGTAAACAAAAGGCGGATGTAAGTATACCTTAGTAGGCATTTTGTACAACAACATATTAAAAGCTTATCAAAGGTATTAAAAAGGTCTAATGTTAGATCGTAGAATAACATTATAAGTTTATTTATTGATAGTATTAAGCTCCAACTAAACTAAAGCAAAAAACATACACAAGTTACAGTGTTAACTTATCTCTTTATTGAATACAGGTTGTACTTAATACAGGCTTAGCTTTCAATGTCTGGGATTAGGATTATTTTGTGTTATTCTAGATATTGTATGTTTTAAGAAGTACTGTTGCAATAAAGATACTAATTTAACCACACATATATTTTGCAGGATTCTGGTAGTATTAATTAACAAGACAAAAATGAAATATACCTTTCTATTGTGACTGAAGTGACTACATATTTAATTAGGATAAACATTATATTTCTTAACAACTACAAGACAAATAATAACAATTATTATAGCATTGTCAACTATAGGGACTACATATGTAACTGGGATAACAATATATTTTTAAGATCCACAGAAAAACATTGATTATCATGTGAAATGTATATGTGCACATACATTTTATGAACATAAGGAAACTGAGGTAACAGATGGCTATTCAACACATCAAAATCACCCTTTATCTAAATAAATGACAATAACAGTAAAATATCTAATGAAAAAAATTTATAATTTTAAATCACTTGTTTCAAGCATATGCCTATTTAAAGCTAGCTTTGGTGATAAATATATTTACTGTGGTTAACCAAGATTTATTCTGTAAATATGGTTAGTTTGGTATATCAGAAATTTAATATAACTTATCATTCATAATATGTTGTTAAAAATATTTTAAATCAACAGTGCAAGTGGGATGAACTACTCCTATTACACAGACTTAAATAGCATTATCACTGTAGCTTTTATAATCATGGTAAAATTTAATGAATGTTAAATATCTGTACTTGCAGTAATTTGATTCAGTGGTCTGAAACAACATACATTTCCAAGTTTTTCCCTTCTCATATCTTATTGTTTTATTTGACAAAAGGTATAATGAATTAATGTCAGTTTATGTATTATATATATGTTCATAGATACAGGGTGTGGCAAAAACTATTATATATTAGTTGTTTCGTTTACAACATAGTTTACTTTCTAATTTTTTAATTTTAAACAAACAATAGCTCAATAGATTTTGTTGTATGCATAATATTTCTTTTAGTATCAACTGTACAGTAACTCCTTCCTCATCATATATGTATGAATATCAGTTTTATGTTTTTCTGAAGTGCACATAAAGTTTATTAAATGTACTTCTTAAGAAGGTGTGATAGAATATCTGTTTTGTATGTTAGCCAAATTTTATGTTTGTTGGTATGGATTTTCATGAAGTTACTTGTTTCACAATTGTGTACCTTTTTTTATTGGGTCAACGAAATGTACAGCTTACATTTCATTTATTGTTAGAACTCGCATAGATGTAACTTCTTTGAAAATTGATATTTATATTTGTGTGTGCTACATTAAAAAAATGTATCTAAGAAGGACAGTTTGAATGTTTAATTGATTTTATGGTATTGCAGGAACAGAATGAAGAAGCTATTTTTGATTGTACAAAAGGTAAGAGCAACTGAAAACTGTAGACACACGCATGTATATACAAGTTTTTAAATACCTGTATTTATCTGTTTTTAAATATTTAACTTGAAAACCATTAGTTAACCCTTTTGAGACGGGTCATGGGTGAAAGGCCATGTCATCTCGTTTGTTGACTCGCATTAAAAATTTTATTGAACTACAATTTCATGAATTTATGTCAATAAGTTTGGTATCAAACTATAGATTATAATTCAAATTTTAGTACTATATATTACTCACTTTCTTAATTTAAAAGCAAATATTAAAAAACACAGATAAACATCGTTTTTGTGTGTCACGTGGTATGTTGAATGGACCACTGGTTCAAATTAGATGTTTGTAAAATCAAAATACCAAGTTTATAGTTTCAAATGAATTAGAATCTCAAATTACCAATATTGATAAGCTAAATAATAAAATAAGAGCCTCTTATATTTTCAATTTGCTAAGATATTGCTCATGTAATAAATCAAACACAGTG